CATTAGGCACTATATTCAAAATATAAACAAGAAATTATAGATGAAGCGTTGCATTTATTGACTGCTGGCGATGTTTCTGATGCACATAAAATAGTAGTAACAAAAATTGCTCCTGAAAGTATCTTACATAAAAAGCATAAAGAATTACAGGAAATACTTGAAAAGATCGATCCACATTCTGTACCAGATTGGGATCTTGGTGGGAAAGTACGCATCATATTATTTAGACGTTAACCTAATATTTTGAATTATGTAATTAATTATTTTTTTTAAATAGATTTTCCTGGATTATCTTGTATTTATTGCAACCGCTAATGTGGAAGAGGAAGAAAGGAACTCCGCCAAGATTACAGATCTCATGGGCATTTGCCAGAATATTATTATTGGTCTCGCAAAGATGAAACCCGTTGACTTTCGGTACGAACAATGCATTTCCTATATGGAATATTTGACAAACCAGGTTCTATGCCAAATTGAGGAGTGCGATATCAAACATATGAAATTTAGGCCCATAGATAACATTAGCGTTGAAATTTAACGATGGTGCGTAGAAGAGTTGAATGAGACCGTGATTGGGTTCTATTATTACGTTATTATAGATCTCATTACTATAAACTTTTATAGCATAAGGTATTCTTTATCTAATGTTTTAATATACCATTTTCTTGTACATATTTTTCTTAGACATTCATGTACGCGTATGTGAAAACCTAATAAATTTGTGAATAATTAAAAATACATTCTTTTTTCATTTCATAATTACTGGTTGATGAAACAATACATTGTAAATACACTAGTTAATCTTTATATTAAAAATGAACTTTTATGGAATAATAAAATACGTTGTATTGTATAAATTATTCTATAAATTTAAATATCTATTTTAGGTTGATGTTTATAAATGACTTACAAATGTCAATAATTGTTTTCTTTAATATTTATTCACTTATAAAATTTGAAACTAAACATTATTTCTTACAGTTTATTACTATAATTTATTTGAACAAAATCTGGACTATCTTATAATCTTAATTATTATTATTTTTTAATTTATTTTCAAATTAATATCTTGTTAAACATGAATTCTTTTGAATTATTTTCTTGAAATCTATCTAAATTTTTGTTTTTTTGATTTTTTTTTTGCATTTGATATTATTTTTTTTAAAAAATTTTATATTTCTAAATTTTTTTTCACTTTAAACATGTTATTTTATATTAATTTATAACTTTTTTTACAATCATTATAAAATATATTATTGATATTATTTTAATAAACTTTTTATTAACTCTAAATTAAACTTGTATAATAAATTCTAAATTTTATTTTAATTAATATTTTTTAATATTTATATAATTAATATAACAAAAAAATATAATTAAATAATATAAATTATCATAAATAACAAAAAAAACTTTTTTTGACAAATATCAAAATTTTAAAAA